GCAACGTGCTGGACGTTACCCCTGGCCGCTGCTCAGGGCCATCACCTGACGAGCTCCACGGTGGGAAAATTACCAAATATCTCTTCTCAGCAGCACCGACACCCCTCTGGACCCAAGATGAGGGTCTGTCCCATCCAACCCGGACTGCCCGTTTAACAATACTATTCTTTACATCTCCCCACCCCAGCTGCTGATGGCAGCATGGCGCTTTTTTTTTTTATTATTATTTTTTAAATTACGTTATTTCTGTGTTGTCATCTGCTAAAAAAATTCTGGAAGGTTCAGGGCGAGCTGAGCTGCCCTTATCCCAAATCCTGCTTCTGGTTCCTGCCTGTAGCTCCTGGGACCGCTGCAGATCATGCTGTTTCCCCCTCCAAAGCACAATCTGATGAAATAGCTGACTTTAACTACTCTTTCTGGGTTTTCCATCCGTTTCAGGGCTGACTGGCGTCATGTATATGAGTATCTTTATTTTACTGCATGTAAGTGCTTGCAGTTACTAATCATAGGTAGGAAAGAGCTTTGTCTTTGCCTCAGTTTTCTCTTGCGGTCGATGTTCAGTGTAATATGGGCCTTGAGGTGGACACTTTAGCAAAACAGGATAATTGTGGGATAATCTTGTGTGATATGGGCTCATTTTCATTGCTCTGGAGTACGCGGGAGTACTTAGTTACATACGTGTGGGTTGCCTGTGTCTGCAGTTCCGAACGTGGCGTCCCCCGGGCTCGGCGGGGGTGGCGAAGGACACTGCGTGGCTCTGCTGCTGCCTGAGACAGGGCGGGTTAAGGACAAATACAAGATATTTCTGGGAATCGCCTCCTTACGCTGCTGTGCTTGTGATTAGGATTTTTGTTGTGATTAGGATTAAAAAAAACTGTGTTTTTTAAAGCATTTTACAAAGTGATAATCTCTCTTAAAGTTGATTTATCAATTGCAATTTTCCCTCTTGTCCTATGTTCTACCAAAATGCATCTACTGCTCCCCTGGCATAAAATAAAGCATGAATAGCTGTACAAAACCAGACTTTATCTATGCCGTAGCAGCTTTCCTAAGAAAATTTACACTGGCGTAAAATCTGGTAGGAAAGGGGATGTGCAGACCCTGGAAAGGAGCTTTTCTGGAGGCTCAACGCTGCTCACTAAAGTGGTTCCAACCCCAGGAGCTTCCTTGATCTGAGACTTTAATTTCTAAAGTGAGGGGACTTTCTGCGGCAATCTGTGCAACGTAGACAAACAGAAAAGTAGCGCTTCTTTTCTTAGAAACGTTAGAGACATTGAGTCAAGCTGAATATTGCATCTGTTCAACAAGTCCGTGTGCTAAATTTCATACGGCGAGGTTTTAAATAAACTCTCCACTTTATATTTCACACCGGTGACTCATCGAATCGGTCTGGATTAGTCTTAATTTATTGCAAACTGGTGCAGACCACAAAACTTTTTGGAGGGGAGAGAAGACGACTGTTTTGTATTTCCCTTTTGGGCATTTTTTTTAAATTTTTTGTGACAAATAGGTTGAATACATGACATAAACCTGCAGTTTTCGGTCTTTATCTTGCACTGTAAACTTGGGGAGGTGGGCTTGACATCTGCGAAGGGCTAAAATGACTTCAGCAGAAACGATCTTGCAGAAAAGCAGCCATTTTCGCTGACGCCACATCAACACATTCCTCGCTCTCCTGGGTTTTCAGCAAAAAAGTTGAAGTACATATTAAGTACTCTTAAAGGGTTTTCAAGTGAGCTTTTTGCCTTTTCTGCTGCTGTTGGAAAGTTCTTCCAGACTTTCCATCCATTAGGAAGTTGATTTCTAGCCTGTGCGTATCCACCTTATACCCATTTGTTTTTACACCAGTGTTGTCTTATTTAAATTTAAACAGTTTTTCTCACTTTGGTTTTTCTCTCAGACAGTGAATGTCCAGGTGCTCTCACTCTCCGCTTTAGTTGACCGAAAAGCGAGAGACCTTTCAGTCTCCCCTGATAAAACCACCTCTCCTTCCCTTGGCTGTGCACAGTGAGCCCCATTACCGGGTTAAATCCTTAATTTAGGACCAGAAACCTTCCGCACCAGCAGCCGGGCTGGCAAGACCTAGCACGTACAGAGTGAATGATCTTTTGCCAGTTCATTAATTCTTCCCATTTCTGTTTTCTTTTAAAAAAAGTTCATTTCTCTTGATTGCTAAAAATATCTGAGGCCATGAGAAGGGCAGCCCCTGTTGGGGACGGCGTGCTTCCCCCTTGCAGGAGCGGTGCCGCGCTGCGGAGATCACGACTTTATCCCGCCTCCGGCATCTCACTCGCCCTGCGATGGCTCGCTCGCAGCGGCTGCTCCGGGGGCATTTCGTGGGGCCGTGGTGCTCGGGCAGCACTCGGTGACAGAGGCACACACCGTGGCCAAACCGGCTTCCTCCTGCGAGGAGAAACTTCTGCCGGCACAAAAAGAGGGGAAAAAAAAACCAACACCAACATATAAAAGGAGAAGAGAGAAGTGTATAAAGAGAAGAGGGCATTTTGCCGCGCTCTGAATTTTACTCCTGAAGAGGTGAAACTAGAAGGGAACCTGTTTTCTCCCCGTGTTTGAATTCAGCATCTTGAGAGCAGGGCTGACCCGCAAGTTGTTCACCCCGTGCGTCCTCCTGAGATAGTGGGGCCTCATGGCAGCCCCCAGTGCCTCCAGCCGATTTATTCTCCTCGCCCTCTCCCCAAGGTGGAGAACAGGCAAAGCACGTTCAGCCTTCCAAATATTTTATTTATATCCCGCCAGCCATGAGTAAGTGCCTCCAGCCTTCTGCTTGTCATAAATCTGTTCATCACCTTCCTCCACCAGCTCCTGCCGAGAGGAGGTTTTGCACCACAAGGAACGATTTCCAGGGACTTGGGGGGTCTGTGAACACAAATGATGACCTCAGGGCTGGTGGTGCGCTTGTCGCTCGGTGCTCGTGGGAGATTTCGCTGGGGAACGCCGTACCGGGGATGGGACATGCGGTGCCCGGTTCACAGTCCCCGCAAATAACCACCGTTGGTGTTCGGGCGAGCGAGGGGCTCGGGAGCAGCCGGGGTTTGCTGCGTTACTGCGCCGCTGCAGAAACAAAACCGGCCCTAGAAGGGAGAGGGCGGTCTGTCCTACAAAGGCACAAACTAGGTCAGTGTCGTCGGGTGCCTTCAGCTCTGCCTTGCCTTTACTTTGAGAGAAATAAAAAAAAAAAAAAAAAAAAAAAAAAAAAAAGAAAAAAAAAAAGAGGGGAAAGCCCCGCAAAAAACAATAACCAAAAAAAACCCCACAAACCAGCAGCGTTACAGCCCTTTGTATGATGAATTTCGGTCACCAGGTTTGGGCCAACTTCCCTTAGCCGCCTCTTGCAGATGCTTCAGAGATGATCCACAGCTCATGATTTCCAGGGGGGATGTCGAGCCAAGGAAAAATGACGTGAGAAACCACATGGTTTTGACCAGGCTCTGTCCCCGACGTCCCGGCTGCGGCTGGGGGTACTGGTCCTGCCCCTCCGGCGTGGGCCCGTGAGGGTCTGGGCACGTCGTTAATCTCAAACGACTCATCCCAGCTTCTTCAGAAGGCGCTGCGAGAAACTCTGCGGGGAAAGGTCTCTGGAGGGGTCTGCAAAAGGCAAAGCCGCGGTGGGGCGAGTGCCGGGAGCTGCCGTGTCCTGGGGAGCCCAGGCAGCCTGGAAGGGAGTAGAAATAAGTGCCTGGGCAATAGACACTGGTGTAGAACTGGGACTCCAGTGCCAAACTGCACCGCAAACGTCCTACCAGCATCCTCGGCCGCACGGGTGGGAGGGTGCTTGCTCAGCACCGAGAGGGTCGGCTGCTGCGAGGAGACCTTCGGTGTTTCTCCCGTGGGAAGGGGGTATGGGTCCGGCTTGCCGTTTGGGCAGGAAAACGGTATTTATTCTGCTTTACACAAATGGAGGCAGAAGGTGCTGAGCAGGGCAGCAGTTTTCCATCATCTGTTATTGATATTTGCTTAATGATTTTGAATTATTTTAGTTATTAATTTTACATACATAGAAACTTTTTTTCACCCACAGTGGCTATAGCAATACCGTACGGGCATGGCTCGGAACGAGGGAGATTCGGGTTAGGTGGTAGGAAAGCTTTCTCCCAGGCAGAGCAACGCCACACTGGCCTCTGGCAAATTGAAGCGTCTCCATCCCTCGGGGCCAAAGTAGTTTATTAAAAACAAAAATAAATTAAAATAATCTGTACGCATAGAAAATCCGGCCCTGGGGAATAGGAATGGGCTCAACAATCTTTCCCAGTCCCAGCAGGCTCTTTTCTGTGGTATTTATAGGATGTTTTGTATTTTAAAGGAAGAAATTGAAGCCAAATCATGTTGATTATTACAGAATGTTAGCTGCTGTTTGTGGAAGAGCCTGTCATGGAGAGGAGGGGAAGAGCTGGTGTCTGAGCCAGCCCAGCGCAGGAAAAAGTGTGTGGATTTTAACATTTAAAGTCATTCCATGCTGTAGGGACATAACCGGAGCGCTGGTACAAAGGCCCTGGCAGCTTTGAATATTTCTAAGTGCCTCCCCTCTTGCCCTCTCTTCTGAATATTAAAAGATAATATCTGCTGCTAAGGTTTGGTGGTGGGAACGTGGGTTATGGGACTGGCAGTGTGTACACCCAAGTGGGTTTTTCCTCCTTGTGCCGGTGTGCTGAGGGGAGACCCGGTGAGCCTCCTCTCCGTCCCGGCGGTGAAATGAAGGTCTGGCACTGGGGTGGGCACTGGGGTGTGCTGGGGTCCTCCTGGGGCTCCAACCGTGTGTGCAGCCCCTCGGAGCGGAGCAGACGGGGGAAGGGGCATTGCCACCGCCGCCCCCTGGGAATTAATATCACCCTCACGTCTCCACAGCATCCCCCGGCTCTTTGGGGGTGCGGAGGCAGAGAGCACGTGGCTATTTGGGGGGTGAAGGCTTCCCGAGCGGCGCAGCCCCCCGTGCTCACGGGACACCCCTCGGCGCTGTGTTTCAGGCTGGACACGGACGGGCCATGGCACAGCTGGAGCTGCTGTGGGCGGCCGCCGCGCTGATGCTGCTCGGGGCCGCCGTCAGCCTCTGCGTCAAGTGCCAGCTCTCCGGTAAGGTCCTTCTTGTGCCCCCACCCCCCGGGGCAGTCACACTGGGCAGACCCCTTCCTCTTGGGATGTCCCCTCTGGGTGGGTTTGGTCCTGCTGAGCCATGTGGAGCTCTGTCCTCGCGGGGGTGCTCCCAGCAGGTTGAGGTGGGAAAGGTCACTGCTGGTGGTCAGGGAGCAGCTGATGGGGGGGGGAAGGACCCCCCAGCCCTGCAGCACCCCTTCCCGGGGGGGGGTGGGGGGTGCAGGGCTGTGGGCTGCGGACCCCCCTCCATGGGCACCGTGGTGGGTGGCTTTGGGACACTCCACCCAGGAGGAGCATCTCTGCACGCACAAATCTCAGGGGTGGGCAGGCGCGGAAGGAGAGCCTGGGGGATATATTGACATGTACATTAAATACAAAGGAAGGGGGGTGAGCACTCCCCCCACTGGGGGTTCGAGCCCATCTCTGAGCACTAGAGGGGCTTTACTGGGGTGGGGAAAGGCTGCGGGGTGGGGGTTTGGGGACGGGAATGTCTCGCTTGCTTTGCGGTGTGTGATACAAATGCGATGCTTAAGACACGGTTTAAAAGAAAATAAAATCAAAACCCTATCGCAATTGCTGCCGCTGCCCTCGCGTGCGCATTTGTGAATGTGTCTCATTGGACTTTCTGATCTTTAACTCCCAAATCATCCTTTTCTGAGAGCTTTTCCTCCCTCCCTTGTCTTGCAGGTACCAAGCGCGAGAAGCAGCCGCGTGAGCGGAGGAGTCAGTAAGTTGCCTTTCACAATCACGCTTCTCCCCCAAAACAGCTCACCCGGGGTGAGAGCCTGGCCAGAGCCGGGCCCGCTCCATGCCTCACAGCTGAAATCGGGATTTATATAAAATATTCCCAGAACGGGGTGTGCGGGGTGGCATGCCCCAGCCCGGGGCACTGCTGGAGGGGTGATGCCTTCACAAAGAATAACCCAAAATGAAACCGAAGCTCTGACCGTGATGCCTGTGAGTCCTTAACTAGTTGGAAAAAAGGTCTGGGAGAATTGGAAGGGCGAGTCCTTATCCCATCCCCTCGTGCCCCGAGATGAGGTGGAGAGGTGGGTAACCTCATAAAGGAGACCCTTCCCTGGGCTGGTGCTGGTGGGACCCTGTGCCAGAGCAACCACCGCCCTGCCGCGCAGGCAGCGAAGGAAACGCCACGTACGCACACGCACACCCCCTTATTTCCTTCAGCAACAGACAAACCACAGCTAAATGATATATAAAAGAAAAAAAAAAAAAAAGCTGGCTCGTAAGCTTTGATACGGGAGCAAATGTGGTGCAGAGAGGCTCAGTGAAGGCCTCCATGGGGTTGGGGTGTTTCTTTCTGCCCCGCTTGGATGGGACGGGGGCAAAGGCATTGGACATCGCGGACCCGTGGAAAAGGCAGCGCAGGCTCCGTCCCCACTTCTTGAAATTTATACCTGGGTGAGGGGGTTGGACTTCAGTCTTGTGGCATCGTGTGCTCTTTTTGTGTTTTGGGTTAGTTTGGGCTTTTTGTGAGCCGAGTGGTTTAACTCTGTATATTTGCAGCCTTTGCAGTGAGGGCCTTTGCCTGACACCTCATGTCCCCGCCAGCCCTGGGCCATGAATGCCGCCTTGGGGTGGGGGGTGACCCGAATGAAAGGCTGGGGGCAGAGAGGGACACTTTCAGGGTCCCAAAATGAGAGTTTGGGAGAGAGAGCCTGCATGCACCTGCAACAGAAGAGCTGTTGAATCCTGTCGTGCTCTGAAGAGCTGCTCTCCTGTTAGCTAAAAAGTAGAGAGGTTATTGGGCATGTATGTTACTTTTATTGCTGATCACGTATGTTATTTCTTTCAGGTTGATGGCAAGGGGTGTTGGGAGGGGCAGGGACAGCAGCGGAGGTGAAGAAGTGGGGTTTGATGCCCCACTGTTCATGATGTTCATGGGTGAACAACCATTTTTTTTGAGGGTGAAAATGCTTTTCTGGCCTGAACTACTGCATAACTTGTCAGAGTAGGAATTACCCTACATGGTGTTTTCCTCATCCCTGGGTCCTTCCTTCCCTGAGCGGATGTTGGCGGCTCTGCCAGTGGTCCATAAGCACATTTTGACTTTGAAGGGTCAAAGAGGAGTCTGGGAAACTGCTCCTAGCTCATGTGGGTCCTGCCTGATGCGCTGAGTGACGCACCTCAGCATTTCACGTCCGCTCGCCAGACGGGGAGGTCTCTTGCATCTGCTTTTTCTTGGCATAGACGCCAACATTCAGCTGAGGTTGTACCTCTATTTTTTCCAGGCTCGAAAGCCAGCAGAGGTTTGAGGTGATTCGATCCCATTCCAGTGAGTATGAACATTGCATGGGGCTCCTGCACGCACAGAATGGCAGGAATGTAAAAATAAAAGCGTCACCTGGAAGCCAGGCTGTGAAATGATATGACACTGAGACATCAAAGCCACCTTAGATGCTTCTAGCAATGAGAATTCTGACCTCTAGGAAAAAATCTCCCTTCGCATTGAAAATAAATCACCAAAGCAATGTCATTGAAATGCAACGCCTTATTAACTTGGGCTCTTCAAACAACTCTGCTCATCCTGTGTGGGTGAACCCGAATCGATAGGAGTGACTCATTTATCATCACCCTCTTGCTGCTTCCTGCAGCAAGTTGGGTTAGGCGATGACCTTTTGATTTTTATCCTGAAATGAGCTGCCGATGAGGTCTGTATTAAATGTCACCGCCTGCAGATGGGCTCTGCCGGGCCGCTCCCCTCCCTAGGACCTGTCTTGGCCCGAGCCCCACAGCTCCACCTACGAGTCTTTGCTTCAGCCCAGCCCGACCAAAGCTGACGACCCTCCCAGGGTACCTCGCAGTGTGAAGGGAGGGGTGCTGAGCGCAGGAAAGGCTCCCAAATCAAGTGGATTTGGGGGACAATAGGAAAAGAAGCCGCAGTTGGGACTGTAGCTTCCTCCACTGTGTGTTTGCTCGCTCTGCAGTCTGCACAAACACCAGCTTTTCCGCTATTTGTTCCCCAATTTGGCCGTTTATGTACTTTTGAGGAATGATTTGGAAGCTGGTTTGGGATGTATTAGAAAAATGCTTGCCAGTGCCTGGGAATCCTTTCTCGTAGGTGCTCTGTGCTCATTGAAATATCTGCTGCTGCTGTAATCACTAACATCTTGTTTTGTTCTTGGTGCTAGCTACAACCCGAAGGCTGGAACAAATTAAGGAAACTGAGAACTTATCAATAGCAAGGTAGGTAAAAAAACCCTAACAAAACCTAGCTGTAGAGCTGAGGTTGGATGAAGTTCACCTAATGTATGTGAATGTTTGGGATTGGGTTCTGGACCCTATAAATGTGGCTTGGGATGTTCTTAGAATCATAGAATAGTTTGGGTTGGAAGGGACCTTTAAAGGTCATCTCGTCCAACCCCCCACCCCTGCAATGAGCAGGGACATCTTCAAATAGATCAGGTTGCTTAATTTATTGATGGTCAGTAGTGGGTTTAGACTTTTTCTGGATTTTCTTCAGTCTGACTGCATTCTACTGGCAACCATTTAAATCGAACCCAAGGAAATGAGCTGTGGCTGTCCGTAATAGATACGTCATGAAAAAGAAATGGCCATTCTTTGGTTATAAGCAGTTTGACATGAGAAATCCCCTTCTCCCCATAACCAGAACACCCAAGAACTACATGGCTGCAATAACTCAGCTGCAATATTAAGGCATAGCTGTTCCCATCTTGGGATTTCACGCCAAACTCTTCATTTCCCATTGCTTGATGTGTGTCCTATGTAAACTCACAGGGAGGTTTCACGGATGGTCCTTCTGACTTAGTCATTGCTGTGGTCTGTAACCCCTGCTATGGTTTGCTCAGACCTGGGATTGTAGCTCCCTTTTCTCTCTTTCAGGAAAGCCACCGAGGAGCTGGGTGCCTGCCGCCATGCTGGATACGGTGAGCACCTCCTCTGGGATGGGCACTGGGTCAAAGCTTGCTCCATCCCCGCAGCCACCTACCGCAAAATTCACAAATGGGGATGCTGCAAATCTCAGTGTGTTTGTGTAGGTGCTGGCTGGGAGCTCCCACCAGTTTGGGGAAGAGGGACCCTCTGAGGGGCTGGTTATTCAGTGCGGGGACCCCAGGCAGGGCAGGACTGGGGGTTATCCTGGAAACAAGCTAGGCAATGATAAAATTAACTGCTGTTATTAGCACCTACCCATGACGCTTGTGGCTGGTCTGTGCAGCAACACTTAATTATAGAATCACTGTATGGTTAGTGTTGGAAGGGACCTTAAAGATCACCCAGTCCCACCCCCCTGCCCTGGGCAGGGCCACCTCCCACCAGCCCAGGTTGCTCC